AAAAATTGTGTATGCAACATACACAAATTACCTACATTTAGCCTCCTTCCCAATATTTCACTTTAACTGTATGCAAATATTCCAAAATCTGAAAATTTTCAACATCTGAGAGTTCTGCTCCCAAGCATTTCAGAGAAGGAGTACTTAACTGTACAATGTCAGATGGTGATAATTATAATGTAGGGCAATATGCTGAGAGAAACACACACACACACACACACACACACACACACACACACACACACACACACTTCTTTTCCAGAGGAGGCATCTGTTGGGTAGTGAGTTTGTTTAGAGATTTAAGTTGAGAGTCAGGGTTATGATTCTGTATTGAGCAAGAGAATTCCAGGTGAAGAACAGCAAGCAAAAAGGCAAACTTATCTAACAATGTTTCTAAGATCATTGCTCTAAGCGGGTTCTTATTTCCTCATAAGGATTTTGTTGCAGGAATTTTGACTCCAAGTATGGCAGCAACCTCAAATTCTTGTCTCGCAGGAAAGAAGAATTTTCATGCGGACACAGTTTAGTTTTAACGCAAGATTTATTAGGAAAGTTGAGAAGAGAAGACTCCCGTCCTAGTGACGGGAGGGGGCTTTGAGATAGAAAGGACCCTTACCTCCTGCCATAGTGGCAGGAGGACAAGAAGCAAAACCCTAGTCCTCTGCCATAGTGGCAGGAGAAGAATAAGCAAAACCCTAGTCCTCTGCCATAGTGGCAGGAGGCAAAGAAGAAAAACCCGTATTAATGGTGGGGAATGCACCTTTTAAAGGATTCCCTCAAAGATGTTTCTCCATAAACAAAGAAAATTCCTGATTTCCAAGGTACCTGGCCTTGGGACAAAAGGTCACAGAGATACCAGACATAGGACATTCCAGGCCTTAGGCAGATGTGTATTACTCCTTTCAATGATAAAGAGATCAGCCTGAGGCCCTCCCACAATAGCCAAGGTAATGGCCGATACTTCAGGTGGGGAATTGATATGCTAATGCACACTGTCCTGGAAGAGACGTGCCCTGGTGAGTCCAAGACATGGTGGGGAAATTCTCTTTTACTCGGGGACCCAGAATACCCTAACTGCCTACTACCCACTCTAACTCCTCTCTCATTCCGCCCCCCAGAAGAAGTGACCCTAACTGCTGTTAGGGGGAAATGGGACGGTGACCGCTCTGACTGCTTCCTGCTGACATGGGACGAAGTTCAAAGGCAGCAGTTGGGCATTCCTCTGGGGGTCGGTCTAAGGGTCCCCAGTGGAACGTAGAAGTCATCAAAGACGCCTGGCAGAAGTCATCAGAGGTGCCTGGCAGGTTGTTTGAACTCTGGGTGTTCCTTCTTGTTGAAGTCTAGATGACAAAACAAAGACAATTATAATCTCTCCCAACCTAATATGTAATGGGCTTGGTGGAAGCATCAGTTTAAATACTTGAGTTTTAGAACTTAGATATGAGAAACATTTTGTTGAACATTGGACTTGAGCAGTGTTTAAGGCTATGAACTAGATTTATCAGTTTGAAATAGTTCTTTTTAAGCTCAAGTTTTGAGACAATTAGACTCAATGAACATTATAGAACACATGAAACTTTCTGAGCTACATGAAATTGCTATCTAGGTCCATTAGAAGGCACAGAACTAATGAAAGTTAACATGTAGCTTTAGGACTTGAACCCGTATAGGGCATGTAAACATTAAGTTTCCATGGAGTTACAATTTCGTCTAGCATTGATGATTCTGAATTAAGATTTAAACTTACTTGACTTTTGAAAATACTACAGTTGCTTTGTATACAAATGGTGGATTTTTAAAATAACAATTGTACTTTACCAGTTGCTGGAAACCCTAAGAGTGTCAGAAGACATTGAGCCTAGAACATAAAGCACAGCGCTGAAAACATTTCATTGCAAGACTTATCTGGATCATAGCATAGATGGCAAAAGACTAAACTAGTTGTGAGTTACAATAGCCCAGCAGCTTATGGCATTCTAGTAAGAATTCACAAAACTCCACACATTAGGGCAAAGGCAATGAACTAGTCCTGTAGTTGTAACAAGCCATACATTGACAGTTGGAGAACAGAAGAGTCTTAAATATATGAACAGAGAGATCCCAATAATTTAGTCAATGAGGAAGACATGAACCCTGCCTCAGAATGGTGAGGGTGTTCTACCTAGTGATGTCTAGTACAAACTGAAGAGCGATGGCAAACATGCCCTGTCAGGAGCCTGGTCAGCGATACAGGCTGAGCAGTTACAAGCTAACTTTTCCCTAGGAAAACTTCTTTTTTGAGCTTCTAGATTAGTCTGTCTGTCACCTAAGCTAATTTGGGACTCCTGAGAGACCCTGATGGTCACCCTGAGAGAGGGAAGAAGCCCAAGCCAGCTAGGACAGAGAAGGCAGTGTCCAGACGAAAACTTAAAACTTTCCTTTCCACTGTGAGATCCACCCGGGGCTCCTGAGTGCTGTTCCGAGGTGTCACCGAAGTCCGTGGATGGCCTTGAGCCTGTGCAGGTTCCAGGGCTGCTTCCGTCCCATGTGGGAGATCCAATGGGAGATGACTGACCTGAAGTACTTGGCCTTCAAGGACAGTCAGATCTCCAATGACCTCCTTGGCAGTTGGGACATGGCCCTGGGTGGCCTTTCTGATGAAGTGTCCGTTGCTTCTGCAATGAAGAGCACTTGGGAGGCCTCCGGGGGTCTCACTGGAACCAGGAGCACACACCTCTCTCATCCTGCTTTGCCATGGGATCCCCTCCTGGTCTGAGGTAAAAGACCATGGTGACCCCTTTAAGAGGATATCAGAGAACGTTCAGGTCCCATTTGTCTAAAGTCCTATCCTAATGTCCAGGGCAGTTAAGAATCTGTTATCTATATCACCTATTCTTCTCTACATAGAATCTAGTGGAATATACTCAAAGTCATTCCTCAAGCATTTTAAGAAGCTGGGGGATTTCCCTGTGGCTCTTAAACTCAGATTTGTTTAAATCAAAATAAGATTCAGCTTAGCAATTCTCATTTATGAACATTTGTCCATAGTCAATTGAAATAGACTACATAGCTTGCCACATGAACATGTATATGCATACCAGATGACATACATTATAAAGCAAAACTTTTGTAACAGCTTTTGAAAAATCTCTTTAAGTGTTTTAAAGTTACCACATCTTGCTCTTAGTAACACTAGTTGAAGGTGCTTTTAGTTGGAACCTGTAGCTTACTGCTTAGCTTTAGTTCTATCTGCAATGGATGCAATAGTATCTGTTGGAACTAGAAGATGAAGCATTCATTGTCAGAATTATAATAACAAATATCATTACACAGCACACTGTGGAACCACCTGTAGGACTTTAAACTGTTTAGGCCTTGTTCATTAGGATAACAGCTATAAACAATAATGCAATAAGATTATTAGACTTTAGTGATGTTTTCACATTTGTACCAATAGCAGTCTGTTATGTTAATATTTCATTATTATACTAGAGCTAGCTAGCAGATTTAGTCACCAATAAGAAGAAAATAACTTGAGAGTAAAAAAAATGTTGCTTTGACAAAGAATCAGATTTCAATTCCATTGTACCAAAGATGAACATTAAGATGTTGTACACAATAGTTCAATCATACCATACATCCTTTAAGAACTTGCTGTCTGTCTTTCTGTAAGACAAAATCTCACAGACGATGCTTTTTGCAAATTAGAACATAAATAATTGACAATGCAAGAATACAAATAATTCCACAACGTGATACAGCTGCACAATTAAAAGACAGTTTGACCAAAACATAACCACCAGTATATGCATTAGTAACTTTTGGACCTTTATCAAGAATCTTTGTAATTATGCAAACATTCATTCACTTTAATAGAACATACAAGCTCACACGCAGAATCTGCTCCTCCTTATAGCAAGCACTACTCTGGGTGTAAACACTGTAGGCCAGATCTGATCAGAGCTAGGATGGCACTATAAATCAGTAGATGGTTAAACTTCAAGACCAAACAGCAACAAAAGCAGCAGAAAACATTGCAAAAACACTGAGAACTCATCGCTGAAGCCAGTTGCAATGACACAGAAAAACTTTGATTTAGCACATGAACACAGCATTAACAGTGAGATACACCATGAAGCAAAAGGCACATAGAATGAAATACTAGTAGTCGGGGTCAGAGGAGACTGCAAAGGGAAAGAATCTCTCAGGCTACAAAGAGTTAATGAGTTTTAAGTTCTCCCCGGGGGTGCAGGAGTCTGGGGTCTGGCCCATTGTTAACTAGCAATATTCCCGTTGGTTCCCAAGATCAGTGACCAAGGAGAGACAAAATGAACTTCTACCTCCTGTTAGATCTCTAACAATTAAGCCTAAAATGAAACAATTAAAGCTAAAAGACAGAACAGGGAAGGACCAAGGTAAAAGCCAGTTGTGTGCTCCACGTGGCGGTGGAGCCAGCACAGCACAGCAGCATAGTTATGCAAAGAGGCCCATCCAGACTAACTCTCTCCACTCTAAAGTTCAAAGCTGGCAGCCAGGCTGTGGCATCCCTGTAATTGCGGAGGCACCCCAAGGGGTATCTCCGTTCAGCCCCCCATTCCTGTGACATGCTAACTCTGGGACTCCTGCCAGTACAAGTAAATCCTGGTTTTGCACCTGGACATACTTGTCAGAATAGCATGTGCTGGGAGCACTGAAATGAGGATAGAAACTAGAAGCGTCCCTCAGTTTCTATCTCTCCTGAGTCTGAGACGTCTCTCAGGACTCCTATAGCTCGCCCGTGGTGTCCAGGTGTGCGCTGCTGAAGACCACAGAAGAAGGGAGGAAGGTGGGAGTGAAGTCAGCACACTTGACTCACGTCGCTCGACCTTCCACGCCTTGTGGGATGTCTCGGTTAGAACAGCATGTGCCAGGAGTGAAAAATCCGCTCCTGTTTCCTGCGCCATGCTAGACCTAGGCCTCTGCCTGGTGCAATACTCTGATGTCCTGAAGAACATATAAGTCAGAAACAGCATGTGCCAAACTGCACCCTGCTGCATCTGGGACTTCTGCCGGACAAAATATGCTCTCCTTTTGAAATTTATTCTACCCTCGAGTTGACAAGTCTGACCTTAAACTTTGACCTGATTCTATAAGCCTGTGTAACAATGTCCTTAATGAGAGCTGGAGGAGTACCTGTGTTGACTCTGGTTTTCTGCTCACATTAGCGACTACACTCGTTAAGAGCTAACCTGGAGGAACTGTCTCTGCTGACTGCCTTGTGAGGGAATTAGAGCACTCTCCAGTTAAGTTTATCTTAGATCTCGTCTTTAGAGGGGCCTAGAAAGAAACTCTGCCTGACTTTTCCTTTTCCCCATCACAAACCAGCTGGTATTTAGCACATACTGACCCAAAAACTGAATCCATAGAGAATGAGGAGACTTAGTGAGAAAAAGCCTTTGGAGAAGATATCAGAAAAGGTAACGGAGGACTCATCAGTGCCCGAGGCCATTTGGGAATTGAGGCACATAGCCCAGGGCTCGTGGCCTCGCAGTGGTGACAACTGAGTCCCCGCAGAAGGAAGGAAAGAGTGCAGATTTCAGCCCGACACCCTGACGGGCTGTCGGAGTCCGGGGTACAGTCCAGAGGCCTTTCGAAAAGCATCAGGGAGTGGCCCTGACCAGAATTTCTGAGGCGCCCTTAGACTTCTCCCAGTCTCACGCGACGGGCTTAGTCCGCGAAAAGAAACTGAGTCTGGACAAAACCGACATTCCTGGAGCCAAGGACCCCAACTCCAGGGGATCAATTTAGCCAAACTCAGCAAGCCTCGCCCCTGAGTCTTAAGACCGGCAGCCGCGCTAACCGCATTTAACTGGCTGACAGGGACCCGGTGTTTCTTTTTCCGAGAGTTACTAATTGTGGAGAGCTAGTGTCTCCGAAAAACAGGATAGAGTCCGCTTTGCTCACCGTCCGACGAGATGGATGTCTGGAGGCTGGCTGGAGATGAACTCAAGTCTCGCTGGTAGAATCCGAGTCACACGGCACCAAAACTGTTGCAGGAATTTTGACTCCGAGTATGGCAGCAACCTCAAATTCTTGTCTCGCAGGAAAGAAGAATTTTCATGCGGACACAGTTTAGTTTTAACGCAAGATTTATTAGGAAAGTTGAGAAGAGAAGACTCCCGTCCTAGTGACGGGAGGGGGCTTTGAGATAGAAAGGACCCTTACCTCCTGCCATAGTGGCAGGAGGACAAGAAGCAAAACCCTAGTCCTCTGCCATAGTGGCAGGAGAAGAATAAGCAAAACCCTAGTCCTCTGCCATAGTGGCAGGAGGCAAAGAAGAAAAACCCGTATTAATGGTGGGGAATGCACCTTTTAAAGGATTCCCTCAAAGATGTTTCTCCATAAACAAAGAAAATTCCTGATTTCCATGGTACCTGGCCTTGGGACAAAAGGTCACAGAGATACCAGACATAGGACATTCCAGGCCTTAGGCAGATGTGTATTACTCCTTTCAATGATAAAGAGATCAGCCTGAGGCCCTCCCACAATAGCCGAGGTAATGGCCGATACTTCAGGTGGGGAATTGATATGCTAATTGGAAGAGACGTGCTCTGGTGAGTCCAAGACATGGTGGGGAAATTCTCCTCTACTCGGGGACCCAGAATACCCTAACTGCCTACTACCCACTCTAACTCCTCTCTCAATTTGATTGAGCAAGTGAATAGTGAGCAATCTGGAAGAAGACAGGGCCGGGAGGAAAGGAAAGAGTAAGAATTTAGGAAAAAGTGCTATTTCTTCATCTTGTTGGAATTCATATTACACACTAGGAATCCTGGAAGAAGTTAACTTTCCTGCAATCCGGGTCTCTGTCGGGGCAGGTGAAGAACCTAGGCGTTCTCTGCCTTTTGTGATTCTGCCTTAATGGCTTGGCTAGGGGCTGTGTGAACCTCAGGCCTGATAGTCTACGTGACACCCGGCAGGACACCTGGCAGGTCACGTAGGCAGACCACTTCTCAGGAAGGAGGTACCCGGTATTTGATAAGATTCACAGCCCAATAGCTCGTCGATTTGTACTTTTTGAAAGTTGCTTGTTTCAAACCCACCAATAGAAGCCTGCTAAGTCATGACTGTATAATTAATAGCCTAAGATGTATAAGAACTGGGGGGCTTGGGCTCGGGCCGCTTCCCTTGGCTCTTCTGGCTCTTTTGTCCTCCTTGTGGATCCTTGCAGCCTCTGCTGCAGCTGCCCCTCCCCCGCCCAGCCATGCTGGGCTGGGGGAGGTGGCTGGGAGACCTAGGCTAACCTGAATAAACCACCTTTTTGCCTCAGCACCGACTTCAGACTTGATGATTATCTGGGGGTTTCAAAAACCGGCACAACATTTGGGGGCTCGCCCGGGATCCCCAGGTCATCAAGACTGATGGCGTGTGGTGAGTGTCGCCTAACTTTTCTTTACCAGCCAGTTTTATCTGATCAGTTGCCTTTTTCAGCTGAATTTTGCCTTTGCGCCCAGTATGGGGTCAGAAAGCCCTGAATGGGTTAAGTGTTCGCCTGGTGAGCGGGCTGAAAGGCCTCTCCAGGTAAGGCACCGGTTTGCTAAGGAGGAGTAGGTGCGTTCCCTCCGAATGATTTTTCTTAAAGTAGACCTACTTTGTTAACTGTGTGTCTGTCTTGTCTTGAAACTGTTGTATGTTTTTGTGTCTGCCGGCTATAAGTTAAATGCTTGCTAGGATAGTTAAATTGGCTGCAAAATCTTGAACTGTGAGAACTTTGTAAGAAGGCCTCTTACCTAGATTCAATTGGACCTATGAGTGGCGCGCCTAAATTCTAATTTGAATACAGCGAGAGAAAGTTTCTCTAGATTAATTTTCTGAGCTAGCAGGATGGCCAAAAGTCTCCGGAGAGGTTGGGAGTCGGCAGCTGACATTACAGAGTCTGGGCGGACGCGTAATTCGGCTCTGTCGGCTGGGATCTCTTGGTGACGACTGGGGTCCCCAAGGCCGACGTCCCTGGGTCCAGGTGCCTGACCTGAGGGACTGCGTGCTCTCCCCGGTTCCGAGCTAGACGGACTTGCTTGCCTGGGTTCCGAGTCTGATGAGCTTGGGGGTAGCCTTCTGCCTGGGTTCCGAGTCTGATGGGTTGGGGGCAACCTTCTAATTGGGCGTCAGATTCGATGGGGCTTCTGCCTGGGTTCCGAGTCTGATGGTGAAGGCGACCTTCTAGCTGAGTTCCGGATTCGAGGGGCTGTATAGTGAAGGCGACCTCCCAGCTGGGTTCCAGATTCGAAGGGGCTATAAGTTTTTCTAAGCTTGAGGGGGAATAGCCAGTGTCCAAGTGCCAGGTCAGAGGGACCACCCGTTTTGCCCAGGTTCCGAATCCCGAGAGGTGGACTTTCCACCTAGGTTCCGGATTCGAGGGGCTATGTCTTTGTCCTGGATCGGATGTGTGTTACGTGTCTTTGTTCTGTAGCCCTGCTCTCATCTTGGGCTTGAACTCTGTGAAAGCTCCCTCTACTTCCTGGTGTTGCCAGTCAGCCTCAGTTTAGCTTCTGGGCATTGATATGCATATTTAGGAGGGCCTGGCTGAGAGCGAACTCTTCACCACCCCCCTGCTGGGGAGAGGTCTGACTTGCTTTAACTCCATCTGGCCTGAGAGATTTTCTTGCCTTTGCCATCAAATCTAGCCTACTTGCTAGCATGCTCAGTTAAATGTACATTTAACCAACTTATTTGAATCTCTAAATTGCTCAAAGTCTGAACCAAGCCTCCTGACTTTGGGAATTCCATAGGATCCATGGAACTCTCAAAAACAGAGACAACATTTGGATAATTAAACTGTTATTTGAAATATTCTGGATTATAATTGCACAATGTTATGAAACTGCCAAGTTGGTTGCTGCATATGTTTAATATTTACATGGTTACAGATAATGGATACTGATGTTTATGTCTTGGTCAAAATACCTTTTTAATCACGAAATTGATTCAGGTTATAAGTTATCTGTGTTCTTATTTACAAAGTATTGTTTCTGAGACTGCCTCACAGGAAGACAACGGATTCTTAAAGGATGTGTGGTAAAATTGTTCATATTGTGTGCATTTGCTGAGTATTTAACCTTTAAAGGAACAGAATTAAAATTGAAGTTTGATTCCTTGTCAGAGAACAACAGTGTCATAACATTTCCTTTTAAGTTATTTTCATCTTATTGATGACTAACCTGCTAACTAAGTTCAGTAAATTCTTGGGCAGCCTCCTAAGACAACAGCCAAACTGAAGTTCTTCCATACCCTTGACTTCAATAAAACAGAAGATGCTCCAGGCCCTGAGAAAGGGAGGGGCACGCTTGGAGCCTGGCCTTTGAAGAGTTTGGAACTTTGACTTTGTCCCTGCCATTGTGATTCTTAAGAAGGGGGATGTTCCTAAGTCAGCTAGGAGGAAGTAACTGCTTCTGGTTCCGAAATGGGTTTGCATTTTAAAATGTTTTCATGGATTGGCTATATATATAAAAGATAATTGAAGATTGCCTGAAGCAATTGTGTTTAAAAATTTAACCTGCTTTTATTTTAAAAAATGTATTGGATTGGAGTTTCGTTTGTTTCAGAATGTAGATCCAGAGAATTGGCAGATAAAGGATGGTTGCAAGCCTGAGAATGTTCTTGGTGAGAAGGTTATAAAGGAGTTACTGAAAGAACATTGCTGTGAAAATATTTTGTTCTACAGGATTATGGCTATCATAAGATGCAAAGGGAAAGATAAAGCAAAATACTTAAAGGTTCAAGCATGTTAAGAAAAAGATAAAAGTCATGAAATTTCAGAAATGAATCTGGCTATAATTTTTAAGATATTGTTACAAATTGTTTAAGTATTTAACACTAATATCTAACGTATGATGACATTTGAACTGATATCTGTTTGCAAAATGCCTTTGAAGTATATATCTATGGAAGTGCTCCTGAGTATCTGACAATGGAAGTTTCAAGTTTTGAGGACTGTTAATGGAAACAAATTGGTAACTTTGTCAACTGTCTATCCAGCCTATTTTCAGTAAGCTGTTATTCCAACCTTTGAATTTGTTAAATTCTTAAAAGTTATGTGATGATTTTAT